GAGTAACTTGTTTCAAATGGAGAAAAATTTTGATAGATGAAATTCCTCTTATTACCCTAAATGGAAAGTTACAACCTATTTCAAGGGAAAAAAAATCTGTTCAATTTCTACTCTTTCACTCCATCTTTAAATGATTGCTAAAATGCTGAACCTACAAAATTATTTTTTTCTTTTGATTTTCATTCAATTCATTTTGTATATATTTCCCGAACAAGGAAATATTAAAAAACTTCCATATTTTTCCCGTCTCCTATTCCTCCCCTCCCGCTCTTCCAAACATTTCTTAATTCCCCAATTCCATCCTGAGTTGATGCTAATGCTGGCTTTTTTCTCCTTTTTTATAGCCGAATAAGCTAATTGTTTCAACAGAGGACACAAAGGAGATGCCAACATGTATACACGGTTTTTTAAAGTGGACATGAAATATAAGGCTAGTTAATCTAAACTATCTGCAAGAACTCATACATCCAACCTGACATTTTCACTATGCTTTTCGATTAAGTTGTCTCAACCATATGTGAAAACCGCTAAGGGAGTTTCTCTCTTTCAAAATCTCCAAATGCCTTTCTTATGACAAATAGAAGATAAAGAGAGGGATCGAGTTGAATTATGAAGTTTCCTCAGAACAGCACCATGTATCCTGCCAAGCCCAAGATTCACCCTCTACTGACATCACAGATCCAATCAATTCCCATTAAACCATTTGAGAAAAGGAGGATGAGACCTAATCAACAGTTGATATAAATATTACCTAACGGACATCTGCTTCATAATTTTCAAGCTGGATAACCTCAAACCAAAAATCAACTGTGCCTGTGAAATATAAAAAGTTGTCAAGATGGATGTCCGGCCGACTTATAGATACGGCACTAGCAGATACAAAGGAGAAACTGAATCCACATTTCAAGTCGTCACTTATTTAAAAGCGTTATGCCTGTAAGTGCAGGGAATAAATCAAACATAGCAATAATCTAATCAGAAGAAATCTGTAAAGCAAAGGGAATTCCGAAGATGAAAATCATTGCCTAAACAGCAACTTGAAACAAGACCATATGGTTATCAAAATAGCAATGTACAAGAGAACTATAAGACTGAAAGCAAGAATATCTCCTTCTATACGTTAAATTTTTCCAGAGAAATTAAAATCTAAAGACTCCATCACAAATTAGGGACATCATGCCCACAACAACAGGGTGGGAATTATTGTGTTGAATAATAAAGACTCCATCACAAATTAGATACATCATGCCCACAACCACAGGGTGGGTACAAAGGTTCTTTCTCCTTCTTTTGTAATCCAATATTGATACACCAGTGGTACCTCACGCTTTAACAACAAAGAAATATCAATCTGCAAGTAAGCCGCAACTTCCTAGGGGCTGCCAATGAGCAGTTCCCATCTCGTTCCATGGTGTTTTACATCAATACATTCACTATTAATTGGAAAAAAAGAAGATTCTAAATTTCATTAGCCATATAATGCTCTATCTTTCTTCTAATGCGAAACACCTGCTAATTACCATATCCCTGTATCCAGGGTTTTCGACAGATTAAAATACCGTGTGTTGCATTATCTGCGAATAAGACAAAATACTAAAAGAGCTCCAATCAACAAGGAGAAATGCTAGGCCCCGGGGTGCACATCAATATGGTAGACGTTAATATGCAATGAAATGCATAAGAATTATTCATATGGCATAAAATGCAGTATGATGGACACAGTAAAAGAGTAGAACTTACGGAAGAACTCTGCAAGTTGTTCTGATTAGCTTGGTATAGAATATGGACATTTCTAATGGAGACTTGAATGCTGTCAAGTATCTGTGGTGAAAGAAAAAAAATTATCAACATGTAGCGGATGACACTAAAATTTTCACCCTCAAAGCACCCTTGGAGTTCTTGGAGCCTAATGCATAAGTGGCAAACTAATAATAAAGTCATTAAATTACCTTCGCAGTTATGTAGGAAATAAATGATTGCCCAGCCTGATTATCTGCCATGAACTCCAACACAAATTAGCGCAACAAAAGCATATACACACACATAGGAAATGCAGCTGACACCGTCCCAAAATGAAGCCCAGCAGCAACTTTATTCACACATTCGTAGATATATATACCGACTATGTCCACTTAAATCAGGATAACGATATTATAACATCCATAAACGGGCAAGGCAGATCCACGGTTAGTACTAGAAGTGAAGAGCAGAAGCTAATTCGATGTCTTAGGCCACGAAAATGAAAAATTACACGCGGACCGTATTCAATGAGGGGCAAAGAAATATCTGCCACCTCAACAAACTGTCCTCCCCAGCAATCACTTAAAGGAAGGCTTTGAATGATTCTCCAGTAAACCAACAGCTCTCTGGAAAGTGAGAATACTTATTGGAAAAGAAACCCATATCAAATAACAAGGCAACTCCAATTCTCTGACCCCTCGATACGGAATGCGCTAAGTACAGCACAAGAACAAAGAAAAAGGGAGACAGGCTCAGCTTACCGCTCATGCGTCGTGACAATTTCGCAAGCTCAGCAGCCGCAAGTTTTGCCTTCTTGCCAGCGAATTCTCTTCTTTCAACAGCCTCCGAACTCCACTGCGACCACAACGCGCGCGCCGAAGCGCCACAGAGACACTCAGACAGTTACCGATGACGACTCGACGGCGACACGTACTAGAAAACGCGGGGACTCGGGGGGCTCACCTCCTCGTCGCGGCGGTCGGAGGCGCGAACGAAGACGTCCTCGAGGACGATGATGATGGGGTCCCAGCCGAGCTTCTTCCAGGGGATCCGGATGCTGAGCCGGCCGACGCGGCCCTCCCGGAGGGCGAAGGGGAGGCGGAGGCAATCGAAGGCCTCGAGGATGAGCTCGACGTTCTCGAGGAGGACCTCCTCGTTCCAGAGGGTGATCTTGAGCTGCTCCCGCTGGATGTCCTTCACGTAGCGGCCCAGGTACCCCAGCAGCAGCTGGCGAACCAGCCCTTCGAACATCGTTTCCTCTACCTACCTCTCTCTACTGCGCGCAGAACGGAGAAGAAAAGCTAGGACGAGCTGCTTTCGATGCTAGGATTCTAACCTCGCAATGGCAACGGAGGAGATTCTCCGGCGCCGCCGCAAATCGACGTGCGCGCGCGCATGTACACGGCGGAGAGAGAGAGAGTGAGACGGAGAGATGGAGACGGAGGGGTTAGAGCGGAAGTCGCTTCCTTTCCAAAGAGATGAACCGAGCCGGGCCCCCGTCGGAGCGGATTGCGGATCCAAACCGACCCGGATGGGCCCCCCAGTGTCGAGTCGGGGCTCCGAGAAAAACGGGCCGGCGCCGGATGGAATCGGGCTGGACCGGGCCCAATTTTAGGCCCGCTCATTTTGCCCCTCGAGGGGCTTGTCCAAGGAGCATGTCTGCTCTTCAACCTTTTATTAATACCAATATTAGCCATTTGTCGGGGGTTTTATGGGGAAAAATGTAAATATAAGTAGTCGAAATCATTTGGAATCGTCTATAAATGGGAAAATCAATTATTTGAAAATTCTCTTCATTGGGAATGCGCAGTAGAAGCTCTAATACCTTCATCCCGAGGAGATCATCAAGAGAAAGTTCAAATTTGAGTCCACTAACATATTTAGTTAAATCAATCGCCTTCACTCAAAAGCTAAAACTAATGATACTTTCATCCCGAAGAGATCGCTAAGAGAGAACCTTAATTCAAGTCCATTAATATATCTAGTTAAACCTATATTCATTTAAAAACTTTTTAAATTAATTAGTTATGGATCAACTGTAATGTATTAAGTATCCCATACCACACATATTCTCAAATGTAAGACGTAAAACTTTTCTAACACGACTTAGATGTGCATATGCACAATTTCCTTGGTCCGCACTGCTGAAGTCCTGATACATTTATCTTAAGAGATCATTAAAAACAACCTAAATTCGAGTCCGTCAACATATCTAATTGTATCAACCTTCATTCAATAGCTTAAACTAATAATACTTTCATTCCAAGAATATCACTGAGAAAGAGCCCAAATCCAAATTCATTAACATATCTAGTTAGACCACTGAGTTTTATGGCCCGATTATGATTTATTCGATACCTTCATCCTAGGGGATAGCAGGGCTAATTCTTTCTTAGCATATTCATCAAGCAGAATACCTCATCCTAGGAGATCATCGTGCCCATTCCTTCTTAAGATATTCACCAAGTAAAAGCTTTGATACGTCCATATTAGGATATTGCCAAGGGAGCTTAAGTCTGAACCTGTCAACATATTTAGATAGACAAAAAAAAAACATATTCAGATAGATTCACTTTCACTCAAATGCCTAAACCAATGAGTTCCAAGCAAATTATGATATATTAACTATGACATCACCCCAATTCTCCGATTTTGGACTATTTTAACTCAATTCACATGTGTATTTTGATACTTATATCACTGGCAACGATGTTTAAGCATATAAATAGTAGGAGGTGACCTTTTTTTTTTGTCTGTAAATAGTAGGAGTGACATTGGAACTGGACGGTTTTGGATAATTCCCGTGCAAACCGGTCCAATTACCTGTTCCCTAAATTTGAAATCGATGATTGTTGGTTTGGTTCTCGGTGTGTGAACCGAACCACCCGTACCATAGATTTTTATTGATTAAAGATCAAAAATACTAAATAACGAGACTTTGTACTATGTAACAACACTTACAGTCTTGTGGGGAATAGGAAAAAAAAAAGATATCAACGCCGGTTCTTGGACCCATCTTTGAATCGGACTGGATCGGTCGGTTCTGTCCAATCTACTCCAGGACCAGAACCAAGTGGGCCAGTTCCCGTTTCACAAGCCAAAAATCGACCCTTCTGGTAAGGTTCCTGGTTTCCGACCCTAATAAATAGTATTGCCTTTTCCCATCTTATTAATAAAAACCACATTTTTGAGCAAAACATTATTTTGCGTGAGAAAAAGAACAAAATAAAAGAAAATCTATCCTTCCCTTAAACAAACGAACGGACCCAATATCGATAAATCAAGAACAAAGCGACGATGCCAAGTCCCCCGCAACGGCAAGCTCACTGCTGACTGGCAAGCAGGGGACTCCACTCGACACACGTAAGAAGCTCTCCACTACTGCCCGAAACAGCAGACGTCGACCCTCCGAATCTTCATCGTCCCGTCGCCGTCGCCGTCGCCGTCGCCGTCGCCGTCGCCGTCGCCGTCGCCGTCGCCGTCGCATCGGAGTCCTCGAAGCTCATCTCTCCGATCTCTCTCTCGCCCTCTCTCTCCGTTCCGCCGTTGCGTGTCCGGTCGCCATTTCCTCGCCCCAGCTCCTCGAAGATCCCGCCTGAAGAAGAAGAGGTGATAAACGAACTCGACGTCGATTCTCCGCGCGCAATGTCGGGGCATCCGCGATCCGCATTCGCTCGTATCCTTCCCCCTAATCGAACGAACCGCGTGCAATCGCTTCTCGTCTCGCTCGCCCGCTCGCCTGGTCGAGCGCGAGGATCGAGTCTGCTTTGGTGAAATTTTTTAAGAATGCTGATGATGCTGTCGAGTCCTCGGGAAGCGTGATCTGGCTTTTGTGTTTTTGTCCACTTGCAGTGTCTGTTCCGTTTTGGTGTAATTCGACGGAGATGGATTCGTCGGCGCTTCTGTTCAACCAGCTCAAGGTCCGCCGCGCATCTGTTCTTCTTCTCTTTAACCGATGACCTTAAGGAGCTGTGGTTCGATTGGTAGTTGATATAGCTCGAACTCTTCGACAGGCGGCTGAGCCATTCTTTGTGTTGGCCGGACCGAACGTGATCGAGTCGGAGGAGCATGTTTTGCACATGGCGAAGCACATAACGAGCATAACTGCAAAGTATGTTTTCCCTTTGGGATTGGGTTTTGTGAAAGCCATTGCCTTGGGCGGAAATGGGAACACGGAGGAAGATGCCCGTAGCTTTGTTTTGTTCTCTATTGCTTTCATCATTTGACTTCACAGGACTTCACTTGCTTTCCTGATAAAATTGTAGTCAATGTACTTTTGTTTGGCGAACCGAGCAAAGATGTATGGTTGGCATTGCTCTAATTGTGAATTGATATGGTACTTTTTCGTGTTGAGGCTTTTTCTCGCACTCTTGCAGAGTCGGGTTGCCGCTTGTGTTCAAGTCAAGCTTTGACAAAGCCAACCGGACGTCATCGAAATCATTTCGGGGTCCTGGCATGGCTGAAGGCCTCAAGGTGCTTCCACCCCCCCTTCCTTTTTAATTGTTTTCCATCTGGAATGTATATATCTTCGAATTGCAAGTGCAACAGAAATTGACAATTGGGATAGGGGTACAAAAAGAACATCAAGGATAGTCATAGTTGTGCGGAAAATTGAAATATGAAATTTATCCATTTGATGCACATATGGTCCCTCAATTGTAACATGTTTGATAATTGCGGTTCTTCTCTCAATCTGTATGTTACAAGATTAATGCTATTTTGGTTGCTTACAGATCCTTGAGAAAGTTAAGGCGACTTATGACATTCCTATTGTGACTGATGTACATGAAACAATTCAGGTAATCCTTGTCTTCTTATGTCAGTATGACTTCTCTGTGGGAAGAGTGCAGCCTCTTATCTGTAACAGGCTTGGTCTGATTTTTCCATTTCCTTCATAGTCCATATGGGTTTTCAAGCTGTCCTATTCTGTTAGTTCTTTTTATTTCGCTTTCTTTGAAAATCAACTGATGGTAAGGTCATGCTCTGTTGACGACTATAACCCCATCAAGAATCATTCTCACAAAGATGTGACCTACATTCATTTATTGACCGCTTAAATGATGCTGCCTGTCGCAACAAAAAATTTCTCCAAGTTGATTTAGCTGCAAAGTTCACCAAGTTTATGTATTAATTTACAACTACGATGCTACTTCTCATAAAAAGTGAAAGAATAGAAGAGTAGTTAATTTCAGAAACTTTTCCTTTTATTTCTGCACATTTCCAGCTTCATTTAGTGTTTCTAATTAAATACTTGTTTTGGAATATCATATCGTGTTGTACTTCTGTTTTAGCATTTCCATTTGACAGCTTCCTTGTTCTTATGCCTGTGGTGCAAATTGCTAGCATTGCTGCTGTCTCTTCTTGTCTCTCTGTAATTACAATGTGGCAGGATTGCTGTTTGTGTGAAATACTGCACGAAACTCGTTGAGAATTTTCTGTGCATCAGTATCAACTATCTGTCTTTTTCCTTTGTTTTGTTCAGTGTGAAGCAGTAGGAAGAGTTGCAGATATTATTCAAATCCCAGCATTTTTATGCCGTCAGGTTCTGCGACACAGATGTTGGATATGTAACTCATTTCATCTTGACAATGACAAAGGCTTTTGAAGTCTGAAATCAAGTTACTCTAATCATATTGACAGACAGATCTCCTAGTTGCAGCAGCTAAGACCGGGAAGATTATTAACATTAAGAAAGGCCAATTTTGTGCTTCCTCTGTGAGTGAACTTCCTTTACTTCGAAAGTTTGGATCCTCCAGTAATATTTTCTATTGAAACTTTTTTAATTAGGCTGATTGTTGAGGAAATTTAGGGATCCAGTGCATAGATTTGAAGTGCTTATATGTGCTTGATTGTTTGCTTGACTTGTCAAGTGCAATCCTACCTTGCTAATATTAGCAGATATGCAGGTCATGGCGAACTCTGCCGAAAAGATTAGACTGGCTGGGAATCCGCACGTAATGGTTTGTGAAAGAGGAACTATGTTTGGTTATAGTAAGTGATTCTAGTATTGTAGAATGCTATTGAAAGATTGTCAACTTCATTCAGGGTTTTGAGGACGATAGATGATTTCGATTGCATTTTACTTGTCAAAACTTGAAGCTTCTGATATCCGATAGGGTGGTGCTCTCTACTTCCAGGGACCTTTATAATCTGATTTATGAATTGTGCATCCTACTTGACTTGTGGTCCCTTTATATATTGATACTTAACTAATAGTTGGATAAGCGACCAGCTTTCAATCAAGCTCTGATTAGATGACACCTCATTTATCCCTAGTGGAAAGATTCTGATTTTCTTTTAGGCTTCAGTTGGCTGATTATGTCTTAGTTTACATACTTAAGAGTAACATTGTGATCACAGGAGAGGCAATTTATCTGCAGAGTTATTTTCCTATCCCGTGTGATTGATTCATTTCTTCATTCTGTCTGTAGATGATTTAATTGTGGATCCACGCAATCTCGAGTGGATTAGAGAGGCCAACTGTCCTGTTGTAAGTATACTATAGTTTCTTAGATTGGTGAGTTGCTGCATGCTGTCTGAACTGTCTTGTGCATGCACATGAAATTTTAAGATGATTTTCCTACAAAACTATAACTGAAATTTCTTGTTTAACTAGTATGGTAGGGAAAAAATTTTCGTTTGTTTTCCAGAAACAAACAAAAAGAATTTTGTATTTTGTGATAGCCTTCGCCAATGTCAATGTGCCTGCATGCATCAACAGACATTAATCTGTTGAGGAGTGTCTTCACTGTGCCTGTGAGTTCTTCACTGCTTTGTAGGAAAACTATTTGACCTTATGTTGCCCCAGGTTGCTGATGTCACACATTCACTCCAACAACCTGCTGGGAGAAAGGTACCAACTCCATTCATATAATGTTAACAGGGGATTCTTACTGGCTTAAACTTTTGAGTTTTTCTCATTGAACCTCATGGGAAATGTCTATAAAATAATTGAGATGGGTTGCTATTCGCTTAGCTGATCTTAGTGATATTGTTGTCATTTAGTTTACCTACCATGCTTTGCCGGTCTTGACGAGAACACTATCTATTTCATCATTCAGAATGAAAAACGTGCTTTTATGACCTTATATTGTTAGCTGCACAACCACTTGCAAACAGGAGATGGATGCTTCAAGATGGGAAAGCTTGGTTTTTCCTGTGTTTTTGTCGAATATCTCAGAAATAAAATAAAACTGGTGGCTATGTTACCTTTCATGCTCCCACTACATTTGCTTGTTTCTTCCCTCCTAAGTTTGGTTGTTGAAGTATATTCGACTTCTCTTATATATGGAGAAATAGATAACAACTTTTTATTGTTTTTTGTCTGGTGATTTACACCTTAAGGCTGAACTTGTTAGATTGAGTGTCCTGTTTGCCTCTATTCCTGTAAATGCATGATGTCACCAAAGAGTGTTGTCTGTCCCTAGATCTTCCAGGTAGTTGCTTTTATTTACCCAGTGTAAATCCCTGTCTGTAGTGTCTGCTCATATTTGAAAAGTCGAACCATGTTTTTTCTGTAGTTGGAAGGTGGAGGTGTTGCCAGTGGAGGTCTTCGGGAACTCATACCATGCATTGCAAGAACAGCAGTTGCAGTTGGAGTGGATGGGCTTTTTATGGAGGTATGCTGAGTCCTGATTACTGTTGCATTATTACAATTTTATTTAGATTGTTGGAAATCTCCAGACTGGTGCATGCCCTAATTTTTACTCAGGAATGAAGAGCCTTATTTTCAGGGAGTAGAATAAAGGCATAGGTTGTGATACTACTTAGAGACCAGCATCGGAGTTCATTTGCTCACGTGCATATTTTTTTCTTTGGACACTGGTTTGATTCCTGCACATGTATATGGAAGCATTCTAGGAGTTACTGGCACTATTTCGAACAAAGAGCTGTTGATTTTCCCTCATTTGGAATGTTCTCCCAAGAAAAGCATTCATCTGTCATTTATCAACCCTTTCATCTTAGTTAACCATGGGCTCAACACTATCCTAGATAACTGTGCTCTCAACTATGTATAGCTACAGGCGTCTTTCTTGTATCCCTTCTTCTGAATTCAATTATGTTGGTCTTCTGAGACTCACTTTGGATGTGTTCAGGTGCACAATGATCCTTTAAATGCACCAGTAGATGGTCCAACTCAATGGGTGAGTTCAGTAAATGTCTTTTTGCTGACGATCTACCTTTTTTCAAAGAAAATTTTGCACTTTTTAAAGGTTGTGTGGAATTAATGACCACATATGGCTAAGTTGTGAATTAAACAGTCTAAACTCCTGCTGTTTGATGGTGACAGCCCTTACGCCATCTTGAGGAGCTTCTGGAAGAGCTTGTGGCAATAGCTGTGAGTTTTATCCTTTATATGATGAATCATACTACAATTAAGTGCATGTATCTGTGTGTTTTGCATTGTTACCTTTAATTTTATCATGTTCCGAGGACATCCAAACTTTTTCTAAGTGAGATTACCTTTCAATTGATTATCTTCTGAGGACGCCAGAACTAACTTATACACCAGGCATGATTGACAGAATCCCAGAATGAAATGACATAATGTTATGTATAATAGAGTTTAACCAAAAAAGGCCAAATGATTACATTCCTAATTCTTAATTATGTGAAGGGCTTCTATGCTGTAGATGAAACTGGAAGCTTATGTTTCTCATTTGGCACCATGGAGATAGACTGGAAAGCTCACTTCTGTAGAATAGATGAGAAAACTTATGTCTGCTTTGTGTGATGTGGTTCAAGGAATAGAATATGTGGTAATCTAGAGAAAATGAAGTTTACTTACCAGTCTAAAAACATGGTTGATCCAGAGGAAATTTCCGCTGCTAAAAAACCCAGAAGAAAGGCATTGGCAATTGAAAATGCCAATTTTGTACTTCCACAGATCTTAATGATATTACTGCTTGTGCTGAATGCTGTAAATGATTATAATCTGCAGTAACTGAAAACTGGTTATTGTTTGTTGTAAAAGTTCTGTTATTTGTCCTCAGAAATCATTGATGTAAAATGTAAAATATGAGCTTGCTTAAAATTGCTTTGGATCATCTTATGAGTGGACAACATGGTATTGAATTATGACTGGAGCTTTCTTTTGATCTTTCAAAGAGGGCAAGCAAAGGGAAGCGGCAACTTAAAATTGATCTCGCACCATATCACCTCTAGGAGGACCTCGAGGCTTCTCAAAGGGTATGTCAATCTCAAAGTCTTAACTGTAGAAGTTTTCCTCTTGGGTGTTGATTGAGCACTTTGATGTGATTTAGAATCTCTCAGATAAAACAACAATTCAATAATTGGCATTCCTTTTTCCAAATCCTATGTGGGAAATAGACTTGCGGCTCTTCCTAGATTTTTCTTAACGGCTTAGGTGCCTCGAAGCGATCAAGTAAGTTCAGGTGATCAGGTGGAATGTCCGTTATGGTGGCTCAAATAAATAATCATGCAACGTGATGCTGTTCTTTCGAATTGTCTTCTGGCATTTTCTCCGCCCGGTTAATCACCAATGTTTTGTATCTCCGTGTTATTCCTAAATGTTGTTTTATTGATTGTAATCGTTTTATTATTGATGAGTGAAACCAAAGTTGCTTTGGCTAAGTAGAGAGTTTTGTTGCTGTCACGTGGTCTTTCCAAGCGAACTCGTCCACAGTGCAAAATGGACTGATGAAATTGAAAAGGAAATCTCCAGGATGGACACGCTGATCTATACCTGTGACTGTTTTCTCTGTGATTTGCGTCAGCAGACGTGGTTCTGTACTTTGCTACTGGCTTAGGGAAAACTTAGTTGAGAATTAAGCACAGCCTTATTGAAGTTCGGACGTTGGAGTGTTTGGCACAGCCTAGGAAAATACAAGGAAGAGCTGGGAAGTTTGGTATCTTTTGGTACATTGGTACTGGTAGTTATTATTGCATGAATTGCAGCTTACAAGGCGATGGGAGTATATCGGAACAATGGACGAGCCCCAGTGGACTAACGTCGGCCCATGAACGAAAATGTAGGCCTTGCTTTTCGAGCTCGGGTGAAACCCCGACGTTCGGTGCGAAATGGGTCGCCTAAGTCTACATACAACTGAAAGTAATTCTTACCAAATTAGTTGGACCTGGCTGCTCTGTCCAAACACCCTCCTTGAATAGGAAAGACTCCCAACTGCATTCTGCTCAAATATGGTTAGGGGAGTGGCCACGGAGAACTTGCGGATTGACAACCTGCAAACATTCGATGCAATTACTTTTTTACCTTTGGAGGATCTGGGGTCTGTAGCAAGTCCCCTAAGATTTTACCTCTGTTCTTCCAGTTTCAATCTCTGTTAATGCTTGAAGACCGTTGCACAGTCGAAGATTATAGCGAAGTCAGATAAAAGGAAATCTCTTTGGCGACCCATCTCAAGATCATATCCCGACGGAGGACATATTCCTTTTGGTTCTCCAAGTCTGAATTCGTCCAACCCATTATTCTAAAACAGAAACGTAAATCTCGACATGCCGACTGTCCCGCACATCAGACTCACCCTTCTTCTGGAGATAACTACCAGTGTCAGCAGGAATAAATGCTTATCCTTCAAAAGAATTCAGGGACCACGGCCGAAGGTAAATAGAGTGCAACAGACCCCAAATGCCATTAAAGCAGAATGGAACATCTGGCCCCAACAAAAGTAATACAAGAGAAGAATCTGAACAGAAACAAAGAATAGGCTACCTACCATGTAACGAAAATGAAACTAAATGTGTGCTTCTTTGACAGTCTGCTGCATAACCCTTTAAAATTTTATTTCATTGGCCTAGTCAAACAATTTACATCGGACAAAACTTCATTTCTCCAATAAAGATTCGCCGGAGAAGGCCGTGCACTATTTCTTTCTTTTTTTTCCAGAAATGAGGAGCAAAGGTAGTGTTGCCAAAAGGCGCAGGCCACTGGTATAGTGACTATTCCCAGAGCTCAAACTTTTCAAAAGCCTCGTGCTTTACAACATCATTCAGTAACAAATGGTTCCCTCAGAATGCCTCCATAACATAAATGGATGTAAAAAAGTGCTTTCTTATGCTGCCCTCCCGCTCCTATCTGGTGCCCTAGCAACATCCTGCGGTACGAATTATTCAGATCTTCTGCTCTTTCCATAAGTAATGGCACAATCCTCCCTGGACCTTGGTGAAAATATGCAATCTTCGAGTACCTCACATTCAACACTCCTTGCTAGATCAAGAGTAGGAATGCTCACCTCTTTGTGCCAAACGTCACCGCCTATTGAGTAGTAGAGGTCAATTACAATTTACACCATAAATAAGACTATTGAGAACACAGCTCCGATATACAAAGAAATGCATCGACAAGAGAATGATACCTTTACGACAAATCCAACTAACTAATGATTCTTATTAGACCGTAAAGTTTCCAAGTACGGAGCTACTAGCATATCCATTTTGACCAACCAGAGCGCAACTGCAGATGTAGTATGAGGAAGAGTAGGAAAATATGCAACTATTTCTTCCCCAGATAAATTGTAACCAGGCACAGTGTCGCATCGGCGCAACCAATCCCTATTAATGGCGCTGACAAAATCTGCGAGGACCTGGAAGATCATAAAAATAAATAGGCATGTAAATTAGATTTTGAACAATCTTAGACGGATGAGGCAAACAAACTTTTAAAACCAACCCATATAAGGTTTCCAATAGATACACCAAATTAAACCTGCAAAAGCTCTGCCAAAGAGGAGGTTCGTCTGAGTCTCTTTACCCAAAGCCTGTGGGCAGACTTGGTCCAAGCACCAATAAGTGCATCTTTAGGCATAGCTGACTGCAATAACATGGAAATTCCCATTTAGTCAGCTATGTGGGAATATAATAGCATAAAACATACTCTCTCAAGGGGTCCAAGTAGATAACACCTCAACCATAGAGTCAATCAGCTTTACAAACGACCTTCCTCTGGTCTTTAATTGGTCAACAGGAGAGAAGTGATGAAACAGAAGCACTGCCTACTCTAGGAACATACTGCGTTTCCGTCTTATCCGTGTATAGAGTAACAATCACAAACAATTTGTCCACCATGGAAAGACCAAACCACTAGAAGGTACCAATCTTAAGAATCAGCCAGAAATATTAACTTATTCAATCCAATACGTAAAAGACACCGACCAAACATAGGCAAAAGTATCAGAAGCAGCTCATTCAAACACGCTGGACTAGTGCTTTTGTTGTCTTTCTGATAATTCCCAGGCAGAATATAATGGTGCCTCCAGAAAGCAACCTTTTCTTTGCTTGACTATCTATCCACCATCTAACTTTTTGATTTTCAACAAACCCAGATGCACACCAAACTATGGTTGACAATATAACAAGCAGAAATATCACACATTCAAAGCATTTTGCAATTATACACTAGAAGCATCTATCCATATAGACAACAAGAATTCAAGGCAGTCTCTAGAGTAAAAACACGTGGGCTGCAGTGGAAATGTCAAACAAACTCAACATAACTACTCACCTCTATAGCATGAATTGCAGCTTTCAGAGACTGCAACTGTGATGATAGAACTCTGTGCTTTGGGAACGTATCAGTCTCCTCCTTTTCCCTACAAGTGGCTGCATGGATTGCATATCTTTCTTCCAAATCAAAATCCAGCTCAAACGTTGTGTGGCAAATCTTACAGTGTTTCTCATCTCGCCAATACAAATCATGACATCTCTCACATCTATTAAGTGAATCATGATAAGATTTTCTTCTATGCCTTACAGCATTCAGTGCTAAGTAGAAAAAATTCCACATCCATGAATCAAATGCTTTGAGGCGGCTCCAACTTTGCTTTAGTTCCTCCCCCTTTGTTCCAACTTCAATGGTTATAGCACCAGATGAAGGAAAAGAATCTCCACTTGTAATCAGGCTTGTGCCATTGTCTACATCAGAAATAGGAGAAGAACTTTCTTCCCTGACAGAATCAAGCTCAGTCATATCAGATAGGATCCACGATCTACCATCAGCTTGACTCACCATACAGCTTGACATTGCTTGGAAGATAAAAGCCTTCCGTTTCTCCAAAGATTCAATAAGAAGTGCTTCCCGAGCACCCCTATCATCTAAAACCGACAATAAGGAGCAGAAAGCCTGCGTCATGTATAACCAAAACAAATTGATGAAGAAGAATTCAGTCATAAAGTTCAAGCTACGGGACAATAACAAGAAACTATATTTAACACAAAAAGACAAGCACCGAACTCACCTCTTTGGTATCGATGATCTCCCAGTGCCCATCTTCAGAAGACTCGAAATAAACACTCCTATGTCCCGGATCACAAGAATTGCACGGACCCAGGAAAAGCCAGTACCTATTGTACCGACGATCTGATCCCAGATACACAGATTGCATTGCGTGTGGATAATCAACTATTTCCACATCTTTTGCTTCTGTTGATTTGCCAGAAGATATCTGCTTAACATGCGATTTTGACAGTAATGCTGAAGAATCGATGGGTTGAATCTCCGCTGATGAATTAAGGCCATGCCTTTGTTCATGATGCACCCAGGATGACCCTAACAAGTTTTGCTGATTTGATGATGTTCTCTTGATTTTTGCTCCAGAACCAGTATAGATGGAGCTCGGAACAGTTTCGGTGCATACTTGTGATGAATTCTGCTCAGGCTAAAAAGTAAACAGTAAGCACCTCTACCAAACAACAAAGACACTACAAAATCAAACAATCCATGAGTACAGTATCAACTTGATGCAACCTAAAATGGCATCTGAACCGCAAATAGAATCTTCCTCAAGATCCACCTATCCAGCATCAACTTGATGCTGCCTAATGGCATCAAGAAAAAATTTGCATTTCTTCAAGGACAAAGATAAATCAGATTATCAAGGATTTACATTAGAAAAAAGAAAAAGTATTGTGGTCTTATATGGAACTTGCAATAGCAAGTACTTGTAGGCCACATGGCTCTAATGCTTAAGAGAATTCTCGTGCTCAAAGGGCACAAATGCAGGAATTGACCTGAAATGGAAAATGTCCTAAGAAAGAGAAGCTTTAATTTGACAAATTATGATTTTGTTGTATAAAATTTATTTGAATTTAAATTTGAAATGATCTTTAATCTTGACTAACAAAGATTGAGCAAAACAAAGAAATCTTCTTGGGAATTACCAAAACTAACGGACAACTAGGTATGAAAAGAGGCATAGAAGCAAACAAATAGATGAAAAACCATGGATCACGAGATACCTCCATAAGAATGGTGGATCCGGCACGAACAAGATCAATCAAGGCCACTAAAGCATTCAACTTTTCTTCAATACTTAAGTCGGAATATTCACCTTCCATCAGTCCTAACAACCATACTTCTCCAGGATGGCTCTCATCAATCTCTGTATCTACTATTACCATGCTATTTTTACTTTTGTGACTATTTGCACGCTTGAATTTTCTAACAGTAAGATCTCCTGAGTCACACTCAGTATCATCACCACTGCTACACGTATCATCATCGAGATTCTCAACACTTCCAGAGTCATCTGTATCAGACTGAAGATGCTCAGCATCCTTTGAGGCAAAGTTTATCCGTAGACGATAGGTGGAAGATGAGATCTTTTCAAACAAAGTAATATCACTTGAAAGCATGGAGCTTATAGCATTTTCCAGTTCCTCCCTATTGCTGGAGATGTTCAATCCCATAACCTTTTTTGACAAAGAAACCATCAATATAAGTGCAATATACAAGGTGGCTTTTCACCTTTATGAATTGCAAACTCCATTCATATAAAATTACCTGTGAAGCCCTTGCCATTTCAGAAACTTTCAGGCCATTATTACCTTGCTCTGACAAAAGCCTAAATAACTCTCCCTTCAAAGTTCCAGGACGCATCCCATACTTCATCATAAGGCTCATTTCCTAGAGAACCGATTGAAAAGGTGTCATATATAACAATATTGTCATCCATGAACACTATGAAACAATGGAACAAAAGATTCACCTGTCCTTAATGTGGAAGTTAAGTTTGAAATGAGTTCTAATTGGTACTGTCAAATCATTTCCTATCAGCTTTTACCTTTCTAAACCACTTTGTCATAATTTCATTTCTCAGAGGATAATTCAAAAGATTCACCTGTCCTTAATGTGGAAGTTAAGTTTGAGCCATGTCACTCGATTTTGGAGATCTATAGCAGGAACTTTTGGCATGATTCAATCTCTGTTATGCTAACTAGTTTTTCTACACTTTTGCCTTTCTCTACTTCACTCCTAATTTCTAAAACTCTCACAAAATCAATCTGACGAAAATTTGAGGAAAGTAAACTAATGAGAAGTGATAACCATTTGAAAGGAGTAGAAATGCTTAGAATGAGTATACCTCGCTAACAGCTTCTCTGTGTGATGCACCTTTCTTTGATCCAAAACCTGCTGCAACCAATACTTGACGAAGTATTTCCGGCCATGTCAATGGGTTCAAGGACTTTTTCCAGAAATCGACAATGATATCTTGGCTCTCAACCTACATGGTGCCATCATAAGTGCAAAGTTTACTATTTCCTCCCCACAATCCATCAAGAGGAAAAAGAGGAATCAACCATAACGAGTAATTTTATTAACCAGCAAAGTGATTCTCACGCAAAGGAACAAAAGTGAGAAATTAATCAGAATGATATCTCATAGAACTTTCACATCTCCATGGTGAAGAGCAATATGTCTAAAGATGACATTCGTCAAGCATTCAATAAAATGATGAGATCTCAAAGGCAACACTGTAGACGGAAACTTTTCAAGACTCTACACATGTTTCTATAGACTTCCACAAAAAGCTCTCCATTAATTTTCTCCCTCCAACAATACATCCTTAGGAAAATGTAGTACATCTCACATTGACGTCAGCTTCAAACTTTTGAATAATGTCCGGTGTGAGACAAAAAATGGTCAAAGTGAAAATCAACATGATGCTCAGCAGCATCTCAGTTCCTTTCCACCGAAACGGGTAAATTTGCGAATCATTTTTCATACCATATTGTAAGTTGGAGAAAGCCAAAAGCACAAACTAGAAACAGGGGGAATAGACTCTAGGCCTTTTTTCGCTAAATGTAGTTGCCACGTGGATCCTTCTATGCTATAGCACTATCCCTAATAAATATCCTCCTTAGGTTCCTATTGTTAAGATGCTTGCTAGTGGCATCTACTTATATTTCTTACATCTCACTGGTTTTGTCATGAACACTTAGCTAAAAAGTCGTACCTTCTCATTAAAGAATCTTTGATGTAGTCATTTTTGTCCTAGAGATACGACCTGAAATGAGTCTTGCTTGTCTCATCCTTGAGCTGGGAAAGATCAATACAATCCCATACATATTCAAGGAATAATGACACAAATGGTCCCTGAACTTTAGCCAAATGTGCAATATGGTCCCTGAACTTTAGCCAAATGTGCAATATGGTCCATGAGCTTTTAATTTGCTCAATGTGGCCCTTGAACTTTAGCCCAATATGCAATGTGGTCCCTAAAATTTCGATATGTTCAATGTAGTCCTTGGACTTTTGGTACATGCTCAACTTAGTCCCTGAATTATATTAAAATTTTCAATGTTGTCCTTCCATTAATTTAAGTTCGGGAACAATATTAAACATTTCGTATAGTCTAGGAACTCAATTGAATATGTACCAAAAGTTCAGGGACCACATTGAACAAATCGAAAGTTCAGGGACCACTTTGCACATTAATTACAGTTCATGGACCACATTGAACATTGGGCCAAAGTTTAGGGACCATTTGTGTCATTGTCCCTATATTCAATTTATTCCCAATTTCATTGAATACTCACCCATCCATTAAAGTATCTCATATGGCTAAATCATCTTAAGCGCAACGGACCATTTCTTCTTTATGTTTTCAGCATAGTAGTGCAAGCTAACCAATAGCCTCGGTCCTCGCTATGTGGTTTATGTGCTTACCATGTCATTTCATTTGTGTTCATTCTTAGGGGAATGGAAGCATTGAGAAAGCACTAAACTGTAAAGGGTTGGTTCTGTACTGTAACAGGGCAAAAAAATAAAAACCAAGTACTTTCCTACTGGTACTTGTCATAGACATTCCGAAAATTGTGACTCACCGAGTGTAGTAATGCCAATAACTTGCAAGATTTGCTCAAGTGATGAAAGGACCCCCTCGTAAGCTCCGTTTCAACGTCAAAGAGAAGAAGCTTCAAGAGGGCCACATGAATCTTTCCAAGTAACAAGGAATCCTTGAACAAAATATACAAACAAATCAAAATGGACAAATGTCAGCAACACTGATGAACAGCAAAAGTTAAGCAGATAAGCAGGAATTTTGCTAAACAGCAACAACAGTAGGAATAGAAGATTACCTTGTCATGAAATGCTTGAGCAAACTCATCAAGAGTAAAAGAGTTGATATCAAGCATTGCAGCAAAAGTATAAAGAAAGTGGATGGCCTGCAAAGACACAAATCATAAAGATGAATTTCTTCTTCTTTTTAATCCAGAAACTGAGCAATCTACAGTCTAGTCAAAGAACTTCAGTATGTCGTGACTTCTCAATTACACGTGTAATAGGTAAATGAGACACAATGTCAATCTACCACACAAAAATTGCCATTCAGAGAAGCGTCGATTCTGGGAAGAAATCACCTTAGAGTCCACAATAAAGAAGCCAAAACCTTTTCTTATACAAATAAAGATAACATATTTACAAGGAGAAAATGAAGTACACTTCCCAGCATACAGTGAGCATATAAAATTTAGTACGAGTGTAGGCCCTATTGGATGCAAGCAGTGATTAAGGATTGTATGACGTTCCTGTCTGACAAGGTTTTGCAAAATTAAGTTCTCCAGCTTACTTATCAAGAGTTCTTAATGATTTCTAGGAACTATTTCCTTGATAGGTAATAACTCATCCATTCACAGAAAATGAAAAGAAAAAAACATCAATCAAGAACTTTTATGTACCTTAAAGAGTTTCTTGACCATCTCCAAAGAATCCCAAGGCTGCATACAGAAGGGCTGCTTCATCTTTACAGATATTGGAGGAAACTTTGCTAAAACATCTGGAAACACCAAAACCGAACGTAACTTTGATGTACATTGTAACTCAGACAGAAATAACTGAAATACTGGATAATGAGGTAAAAAACTCACCTTTACAGAGGGAACAACCATGTGATCCATTGGAAGCAAAATGATCTGAACAGCAGAGAGGTTTCGGCCCTGCTTGTAACTCTCTCATCTCCATTTCTTCATCATCCACTAGCATTGTAAATTTATCAAGGAGTTCTTGGGTAATTCCCCCTTCCAAAGCAAGGTCGCATTTTTCCTTGCGGGTTCCCTTCGGGATTGAATTCTGATTTAACAGTTTCTGGATGAAAATAGCACCGTTAGAAGTGTACTACGGTTGCAGAACTCAGCACCATTACAATTCATAACCCAGTTCACCTCTTTCTTCCTCATCAAAGGCTTCTTTTTTATTGATGACTTCTCCTTTAACTTCCTCTGTATCTGAAAGACACCTCAAAGTAAGAATACTTTTTCCTCACAGTGTCCACTACCTCAATAATATGACAAAAAAAGATGAAAGGTATAATCCAAAATTAAATATTCAATAATACAGTATGTATATTGGATAACTTGCCATTGCAAGCGTTTGTTGACGCTTGATTTTGCTTTGACATGTCTTCTTTTTTAATTTAGAAGTTGACAAGTGTGATATAGCACCAGCTCCTCTATCAATATCCACACCAGTAGGGAAATGTCCACCGTCAGGATTGGTTGCTCGCCAAGTTGTCATCAAGCCCTTGCCAATGCCATGTCTTTTCACTGGACCACTATTAAAGCCATCCTGGCCATCTATGATTTCTCCATTAGATACCTAAAATATGGATATCAAACTTTAAACCCTCACAGAAGTTTTTATTAAATCACCAACTAGAGTTTACTAGAGATACCTTTTTCTGGTTTGGTTCTCTGTGAATCTGTTCACAAGAAAGTTTATTTTGGGAGCCTAAACATCAAATAAGAGTGTGAATCAATCCAGATATAGAATGACTCATGTAGCTAAAGGGCAAAATATGTGAGGCCAGAAACACAAAAGAGAAAGTATAGCGAAAAATAGCTGCAATATGTAAGTATTTTATAGCTAAATACAACAGATTCATTAAGAAAGAACTATAGGATCCACATCTGACACCGGGGTAATAACGTATAACAGCAAAGTAATATATTAAAAGCACCATTCTCTGCTAATCCATATTATTTCAGAAGCAAAAGAAATCAAAATCTCCACTTTACCATTGCCACCATTGCAATTTGGTTTTGAAAAGACGACAAAAGAAAGCCAAAAAATTGTTTGCTTTACTGATTATGCGCCGTCTAGCGCAATTAGTCAGCCAAGGAATTGATAACATAACGCCCAACAACTGAAAGCAGAGACTAAGCTTTACATTGGTCAGATTCTCTACCAAGCAAAACAATAGGAGCAAAAGCTGCTCCCAAATGATTGGTGTGGAAAAACAAACAACACTATAGGAGGATTGTTAACAATAAAATCCCGAGGAAGCGAGATAAATAAAGATTGTAGTGCATCCAATAAGTAAAACCTAAAAAAGAATTAACACTTGACAGATTCCTTAAGAAATAATGTGAACAAATTTTTTTTTTCCAACAACCAGCTTTACCGTGCAAAAACGCCCCTGTAGGAAGAGAATCGAATTCTACACCGAGAACCGGACCATCCTTGCGGAACACTTTCTTCAGAATGTAATCAGGACTGAACAACATATCCTGCAGACAAATGGGCTTTTCCCTTCTCTTAGCATTAGTAGAGGCTAGATGTCCACAAGTCGAAGGCAACGACTCAGCTGACTGTGCACTATCTTGAGCAGAAATACTGAAGGGTACTTCGCCGTTCCTCTTGCGTCGCTTCCTCTTCTCCATGAACCATCCCTGCACTTGCTTGAATGTCAATCCTAATGATGCAGCATAACCTTTCATAGCCTTTTGCGTCGGGTACTCGTCCTCTGGAATAAAGAACATAACCTTAATGAATGCAGCGGCAGCAACAACCGTAGAGTAATATTTCTAGAAATCGTACAGTGAGGGGATTCCACAATCCCTCTGGGAGGATTTGATAAAACCCTCGAGGCAGCTGGAGGCAGCTGTTCGCCGCATTTACGGGAAACCGTGGAAATGACGAGAACAGCTACCAAAGACAGACACGCGCGAGAAACGAAAGCGGCGCACCTGAGTAGAATTTCTCCAGCGATTGAAGCTGAAGCGGAGTTTTCCTCTTCAGCTCCATAGTTCCCTCGGAATATGCACAATTCTCAAGCCGAACCGATCGGACTCTCCATCATCTGGCGACGCCAAACAAAAAGGAAGGAACAAAAAAGAGAAAAAAAAAACTCAGAAGCTATAATCATCAGCAAAACCTCTCCCTCCCTCGTCCCCTTTCCACACTGCGACGAGCCTCCGTACACCGAAGTAGCGGCGATTCGCGCATCGGAAACCGCATTGCGCCGCTCAATGCCCCGCGGCCGTCGCTCCGGCGGGGTCAAATTCGCATGCAGGAGGAGAAGAAGAGATAAACGCACCTCGGCGTCACCACCGGCATCGCCACCGGCCACCGGCCACCGGCGTCGGCAACCAGCGAGGGAGTGTCGGCTCCGGCGGCGACTCGTCCCTTCCGCCTCCGAGCGAGCTCGGTCGCAATGGCTCCCGCTTCCGCTTCGGCTCACCGAGCTGGGAGAGCAGTTCTGCGGGAGAAGCAGGGCGAAGGACGATGATGATGGAGGGAGTGAGGGAGAGAGGTTGCGAGCGTGCAGAGGTAGGGTTTTAGGTTTTATCTATTATTGTTTTTTTTTTTTTGCCTTTTTATCATTTCGCTGAGGGTTTTTCCTCTCGTCGCTCTCTCTCTCTCCGAAAATATCTTTCTCTTTGTTTTTCTCTCTCTAAAAGTGAAGGGTTTACCGTGTATCCCGCGCCACGTCATCGGCTTCGGCGCGCCATTTTCTTGGCCCCGCGCGCGCGCGTGCGTGGGTGCGGGCCGGGCGAAGGAAGAGCCGCTGACGACTGTCGGCGTCGGCGGCGGCGGCGGCGGCTGGGGCTCGTTGGTTGGGCCGATCCAGTGGCCCAGTGGGTTTGACGACGCTCTGTTCGTTCTGGGCCCTTCGTAGGGAGAAGCCCAGCCCATTTAACATTGTAGATTTGGAAAGGAGAGGAAACTGAAAAGTCGGCCTCTCCAGCACTAGGGATGGCGAAGATGAGAAACGACAAAAAATAAAATAAAATCTAACAAAATCCAGGAGCTATCAAGAGCTTGAAAACCCGGGATTGGCCCGACTGAACCGGCCCTCGCTCAAGTTCCAGTCAAACTGGGCAGAACCTCGAGACATGTCTTTTGAATTTTGATTTTCGGGTTTGTTCAGGCTACTACCAGCTAGCCATCGGCAAAAATAAGCTTAAGGGCGAAGTGAAGCATAAAGGATATGCAAGATGCGTGGACGAAAAGGGAGGACAACGGGAGTCGATGAAGTTGTGGTAAAAATAAATTTCGAATTTAGTAATTCGATTCATTCCATTAATAGATTAAGGGAAAACGACACAAACGATCTATAAATTTTGGCCCAATAAGCATCAGGATCCCTAAAATTTTTAATTGTAGAGAAAACTTTAAGTTTAATTACCAGTCTAAAAACATGGTTGATCCAGAGGAAATTTCCGCTGCTAAAAAACCCAGAAGAAAGGCATTGGCAATTGAAAATGCCAATTTTTTACTTCCACAGATCTTAATGATATTACTGCTTGTGCTGAATGCTGTAAATGATTATAATCTGCAGTAACTGAAAACTGGTTATTGTTCGTTGTAAAAGTTCTGTTATTTGTCCTCAGAAATCATTGATGTAAAATGTAAAATATGAGCTTGCTTAAAATTGCTTTGGATCATCTTATGAGTGGACAACATGGTATTGAATTATGACTGGAGCTTTCTTTTGATCTTTCAAAGAGGGCAAGCAAAGGGAAGCGGCAACTTAAAATTGATCTCGCACCATATCACCTCTAGGAGGACCTCGAGGCTTCTCAAAGGGTATGTCAATCTCAAAGTCTTAACTGTAGAAGTTTTCCTCTTGGGTGTTGATTGAGCACTTTGATGTGATTTAGAATCTCTCAGATAAAACAACAATTCAATAATTGGCATTCCTTTTTCCAAATCCTATGTGGGAAATAGACTTGCGGCTCTTCCTAGATTTTTCTTAACGGCTTAGGTGCCTCGAAGCGATCAAGTAAGTTCAGGTGATCAGGTGGAATGTCCGTTATGGTGGCTCAAATAAATAATCATGCAACGTGATGCTGTTCTTTCGAATTGTCTTCTGGCATTTTCTCCGCCCGGTTAATCACCAATGTTTTGTATCTCCGTGTTATTCCTAAATGTTGTTTTATTGATTGTAATCGTTTTATTATTGATGAGAGAAACCAAAGTTGCTTTGGCTAAGTAGAGAGTTTTGTTGCTGTCTCGTGGTCTTTCCAAGCGAACTCGTCCACAGTGCAAAATGGACTGATGAAATTGAAAAGGAAATCTCCAGGATGGACACGCTGATCTATACCTGTGACTGTTTTCTCTGTGATTTGCGTCAGCAGTCGTGGTTCTGTACTTTGCTACTGGCTTAGGGAAAACTTAGTTGAGAATTAAGCACAGCCTTATTGAAGTTCGGACGTTGGAGTGTTTGGCACAGCCTAGGAAAATACAAGGAAGAGCTGGGAAGTTCGGTATCTTTTGGTACATTGGTACTGGTAGTTATGATTGCATGAATGCCAGCTTACAAGGCGATGGGAGTATATCGGAACAATGGACGAGCCCCAGTGGACTAACGTCGGCCCATGAACGAAAATGTAGGCCTTGCTTTTCGAGCTCGGGTGAAACCCCGACGTTCGGTGCGAAATGGGTCGCCTAAGTCTACATACAACTGAAAGTAATTCTTACCAAATTAGTTGGACCTGGCTGCTTTGTCCAAACACCCTCCTTGAATAGGAAAGACTCCCAACTGCATTCTGCTCAAATATGGTTAGGGGAGTGGCCACGGAGAACTTGCGGAATGACAACCTGCAAACATTCGATGCAATTACTTTTTTACCTCTGGAGGATCTGGGGTCTGTAGCAAGTCCCCTAAGATTTTACCTCTGTTCTTCCAGTTTCAATCTCTGTTAATGCTTGAAGACCGTTAGACAGTCGAAGATTACAGCGAAGTCAGATAAAAGGGAATCTCTTTGGCGACCCATCTCAAGATCGTATCCCGACGGAGGACATATTCCTTTTGGTTCTCCAAGTCTGAATTCGTCCAACCCATTATTCTAAAACAGAAACGTAAATCTCGACATGCCGACTGCCCCGCACATCAGACTCACCCTTCTTCTGGAGATAACTACCAGTGTCAGCAGGAATAAATGCTTATCCTTCAAAAGAATTCAGGGACCACGGCCGAAGGTAAATAGAGTGCAACAGACCCCAAATGCCATTAAAGCAGAATAGAACATCTGGCCCCAACAAAAGTAATACAAGAGAAGAATCTGAACAGAAACAAAGAATAGGCTACCTACCATGTAACGAAAATGAAACTAAATGTGTGCTTCTTTGACAGTCTGCTGCATAACCCTTTAAAATTTTATTTCATTGGCCTAGTCAAACAATTTACATCGGACAAAACTTCATTTCTCCAATAAAGATTCGCCGGAGAAGGCCGTGCACTATTTCTTTCTTTTTTTTCCAGAAATGAGGAGCAAAGGTAGTGTTGCCAAAAGGCGCAGGCCACTGGTATAGTGACTATTCCCAGAGCTCAAACTTTTCAAAAGCCTCGTGCTTTACAACATCATTCAGTAACAAATGGTTCCCTCAGAATGCCTCCATAACATAAATGGATGTAAAAAAGTGCTTTCTTATGCTGCCCTCCCGCTCCTATCTGGTGCCCTAGCAACATCCCGCGGTACGAATTATTCGGATCTTCTGCTCTTTCCATAAGTAATGGCACAATCCTCCCTGGACCTTGGTGAAAATATGCAATCTTCGAGTACCTCACATTCAACACTCCTTGCTAGATCAAGAGTAGGAATGCTCACCTCTTTGTGCCAAACGTCACCGCCTATTGAGTAGTAGAGGTCAATTACAATTTACACCATAAATAAGACTATTGAGAACACAGCTCCGATATACAAAGAAATGCATCGACAAGAGAATGATACCTTTACGACAAATCCAACTAACTAATGATTCTTATTAGACCGTAAAGTTTCCAAGTACGGAGCTACTAGCATATCCATTTTGACCAACCAGAGCGCAACTGCAGATGTAGTATGAGGAAGAGTAGGAAAATATGCAACTATTTCTTCCCCAGATAAATTGTAACCAGGCACAGTGTCGCATCGGCGCAACCAATCCCTATTAATGGCGCTGACAAAATCTGCGAGGACCTGGAAGATCATAAAAATAAATAGGCATGTAAATTAGATTTTGAACAATCTTAGACGGATGAGGCAAACAAACTTTTAAAACCAACCCATATAAGGTTTCCAATAGATACACTAAATTAAACCTGCAAAAGCTCTGCCAAAGAGGAGGTTCGTCTGAGTCTCTTTACCCAAAGCCTGTGGGCAGACTTGGTCCAAGCACCAATAAGTGCATCTTTAGGCATTGCTGACTGCAATAACATGGAAATTCCCATTTAGTCAGCTATGTGGGAATATAATAGCATAAAACATACTCTCTCAAGGGGTCCAAGTAGATAACACCTCAACCATAGAGTCAATCAGCTTTACAAACGACCTTCCTCTGGTCTTTAATTGGTCAACAGGAGAGAAGTGATGAAACAGAAGCACTGCCTACTCTAGGAACATACTGCGTTTCCGTCTTATCCGTGTATAGAGTAACAATCACAAACAATTTGTCCACCATGGAAAGACCAAACCACTAGAAGGTACCAATCTTAAGAATCAGCCAGAAATATTAACTTATTCAATCCAATACGTAAAAGACACCGACCAAACATAGGCAAAAGTATCAGAAGCAGCTCATTCAAACACGCTGGACTAGTGCTTTCGTTGTCTTTCTGATAATTCCCAGGCAGAATATAATGGTGCCTCCAGAAAGTAACCTTTTCTTTGCTTGACTATCTATCCACCATCTAACTTTTTGATTTTCAACAAACCCAGATGCACACCAAACTATGGTTGACAATATAACAAGCAGAAATATCACACATTCAAAGCATTTTGCAATTATACACTAGAAGCATCTATCCATATAGACAACAAGAATTCAAGGCAGTCTCTAGAGTAAAAACACGTGGGCTGCAGTGGAAATGTCAAACAAACTCAACATAACTACTCACCTCTATAGCATGAATTGCAGCTTTCAGAGACTGCAACTGTGATGATAGAACTCTGTGCTTTGGGAACGTATCAGTCTCCTCCTTTTCCCTACAAGTGGCTGCATGGATTGCATATCTTTCTTCCAAATCAAAATCCAGCTCAAACGTTGTGTGGCAAATCTTACAGTGTTTCTCATCTCGCCAATACAAATCATGACATCTCTCACATCTATTAAGTGAATCATGATAAGATTTTCTTCTATGCCTTACAGCATTCAGTGCTAAGTAGAAAAAATTCCACATCCATGAATCAAATGCTTTGAGGCGGCTCCAACTTTGCTTTAGTTCCTCCCCCTTTGTTCCAACTTCAATGGTTATAGCACCAGATGAAGGAAAAGAATCTCCACTTGTAATCAGGCTTGTGCCATTGTCCACATCAGAAATAGGAGAAGAACTTTCTTCCCTGACAGAATCAAGCTCAGTCATATCAGATAGGATCCACGATCTACCATCAGCTTGACTCACCATACAGCTTGACATTGCTTGGAAGATAAAAGCCTTCCGTTTCTCCAAAGATTCAATAAGAAGTGCTTCCCGAGCACCCCTATCATCTAAAACCGACAATAAGGAGCAGAAAGCCTGCGTCATGTATAACCAAAACAAATTGATGAAGAAGAATTCAGTCATAAAGTTCAAGCTACGGGACAATAACAAGAAACTATATTTAACACAAAAAGACAAGCACCGAACTCACCTCTTTGGTATCGATGATCTCCCAGTGCCCATCTTCAGAAGACTCGAAATAAACACTCCTATGTCCCGGATCACAAGAATTGCACGGACCCAGGAAAAGCCAGTACCTATTGTACCGACGATCTGATCCCAGATACACAGATTGCATTGCGTGTGGATAATCAACTATTTCCACATCTTTTGCTTCTGTTGATTTGCCAGAAGATATCTGCTTAACATGCGATTTTGACAGTAATGCTGAAGAATCGATGGGTTGAATCTCCGCTGATGAATTAAGGCCATGCCTTTGTTCATGATGCACCCAGGATGACCCTAACAAGTTTTGCTGATTTGATGATGTTCTCTTGATTTTTGCTCCAGAACCAGTATAGATGGAGCTCGGAACAGTTTCGGTGCATACTTGTGATGAATTCTGCTCAGGCTAAAAAGTAAACAGTAAGCACCTCTACCAAACAACAAAGACACTACAAAATCAAACAATCCATGAGTACAGTATCAACTTGATGCAACCTAAAATGGCATCTGAACCGCAAATAGAATCTTCCTCAAGATCCACCTATCCAGCATCAACTTGATGCTGCCTAATGGCATCAAGAACAAATTTGCATTTCTTCAAGGACAAAGATAAATCAGATTATCAAGGATTTACATTAGAAAAAAGAAAAAGTATTGTGGTCTTATATGGAACTTGCAATAGCAAGTACTTGTAGACCACATGACTCTAATGCTTAAGAGAATTCTCGTGCTCAAAGGGCACAAATGCAGGAATTGACCTGAAATGGAAAATGTCCTAAGAAAGAGAAGCTTTAATTTGACAAATTATGATTTTGTTGTATAAAATTTATTTGAATTTAAATTTGAAATGATCTTTAATCTTGACTAACAAAGATTGAGCAAAACAAAGAAATCTTCTTGGGAATTACCAAAACTAACGGACAACTAGGTATGAAAAGAGGCATAGAAGCAAACAAATAGATGAAAAACCATGGATCACGAGATACCTCCATAAGAATGGTGGATCCAGCACGAACAAGATCAATCAAGGCCACTAAAGCATTCAACTTTTCTTCAATACTTAAGTCGGAATATTCACCTTCCATCAGTCCTAACAACCATACTTCTCCAGGATGGCTCTCATCAATCTCTGTATCTACTATTACCATGCTATTTTTACTTTTGTGACTATTTGCACGCTTGAATTTTCTAACAGTAAGATCTCCTGAGTCACACTCAGTATCATCACCACTGCTACACGTATCATCATCGAGATTCTCAACACTTCCAGAGTCATCTGTATCAGACTGAAGATGCTCAGCATCCTTTGAGGCAAAGTTTATCCGTAGACGATAGGTGGAAGATGAGATCTTTTCAAACAAAGTAA